CTGGGAGTTTCTTTTCAGAAACTACTATAGCTACGTCATCGGCAAAGCCAATGAGTCGTGCCCCTTCGGGCATCGTGATCCTAAGGATCCCATCGTACATGGCATTCCATAACAATGGGCCTAGGACTGATCCTTGTGGGACTCCCCCGCTCACCCTGTGGGTCGATTGCCCGGAATCAGTTTCGTACAAGAGCAGGCGTCTTTCGAAGTAGCTCGCTATTACTCTCTGTATATACATTGGAACATTTAGGTTTCTCAATGCACTTAGAGCATGGTCCCAGCTAGCGGAGTTGAATGCGTTTTTAACATCCAGCGTTGCCGCTATGCAGTACTGCTTAGTGCCGTACAGCTACCTTTTCCCCTCGATGGCTTTATCTGCGATTTCACACAGTTTTCCGACGGCGTCAATGGTAGATAGTCCCTTCCGAAAACCGTACTGCATCTCTGAGAGGCCGTTGGTTTCGACAAGGGCACCTTCTAGCCGGGAGTGGATTATTCTTTCGAGAATTTTACCCACGGTATCTAGCATGCAGAGTGGCCTATATGAAGAAGGCTCCTCCGCCGGCTTGTCCCCCTTTGGTATGAGTACCAGCCGCTGTTGTTTCCAGCGACTACGGAACACACCTTCTGTTAGGCATGCGTTATACATGTCAACATACTCCTTTGTGTTTGCCTTATGGCAATTGCTTTATGGCAATTTTAAGGACTTTATTTGGGATGCCATATGGTCCCGGTGCCTTGTCATCCAGTATTGTCTTCAATACCCGGAGGACTTCTTCGGCACTTGTGAGCTTTATGCTCGCAGTGTTCACGATCTGTGAGGTTCGCGCCATACTCTCTTGCTCTGGGAATAGTGTTTCCACTATCCCTTTTAGGGCGACTGGGCATGTCGGCGATGAACTACTAAATACCCGAAGCCGTTTTGTGACGAGTTTATATGCGAAGCCCCATGGGTTGGAGTCTATTTCTTCGCATATATTATTAAAGCACCTGCGTTTGCTTTCTTTTATGGTTTTTTCCAGGGCTCGTCTTTTTTCCCTGAAAGCTAGTTGTAGTGACTCAAATTCGGGCCTTCCTCTTGAGCGTTGGTATGCGCGTCTTGCCCTGTGGCAGTCTTTCCTGGCTTCCGCAATGGATTGGTTCCACCAGTATGCAGGTCTTCTTCCTGATGGGTTTCTTCCCTTTCTCTGCATAGATGCATCACAGGCTAGCTTGGTGTAGTCTGCGATGTGGTTTTCCCGTTCTTCAGCTGAACCGCTAGTGGAGAGGTCCTCGAAAAACATCTGTACCATCTCCACGTCTAGCGTTTCTATTTTGTACCCTGCCACGGTCCTAGGAACCCGTGGTGGGCCATTTCTGGACTTTATCGTGCAGATTATTGCTGCATGGTCACTACCCATGTAGGTGTCACTAACCTCCCAGCTGGAGCCTGCGGCCAATCCAGCGCTCACAAATGTGAGGTCAATGATGGAACTGGTGCCGGCTCTACAAAAAGTCGGTTTCGTTCCAGAGTTCAGCAGCACTAGGTCAAGTGCGGCGAAGCTCTCAAGTAGCGCCATTCCCCTCGGATTTGTTCTGGGAGAGCCCCAGTCGGAAGCCCAGGCGTTAAAGTCCCCGGCTATTACGGCTGGGCTATTTTCCTGGGCATCTTCTGCAATCCCTTCGAGTGCAGATATTGCCTGGCGAAGGCTATGGCTTGGCGGCAGGTAACAGCTATAGAACGCTATACCATTCACATGGGCCCTAGCGAAGCAATTTCCGCTTTTTTTTCTGTTAATCTGAAGCTTCGGATTTCCGCAGCTCCATATTGCCGATTTTTTGCTATCATCTGCTAGCCATTCTCCGAAATTTTTATTCCTGTATTGCTCGCTTATGAGTGCAATGTCTACGTTTTCCTCGATGACATTTTGCTCCAGCAACAATTGGGCAACCCTAAGCCCTTGCATAGCCCTCCTGAAGTACGGGCATTTCCCACTCATTGTTGGGTGGTCGCAATCCTGCTCCTTCTTGCGTTTGCAGATCATGCAGCAGGCCTTTACCTTGCAGCCTCTGACTTGGTGCTCCTTTGCGTCGCAGTTGTAGCAGCATTTTGAGCAGTCCTCTTGGATCCTGCAGTTCCCTGCTATATGGCCAAACTCCATACACTTAAAACACCTTTTAGGTGTTATCTTTAGGCGGATTCTACACGAAGTCCAACCCAGCCTAATTTTTCCCTTCTCTATGAGCCGTCTCCCTATGTTAGGCATGACTCTAAGTGTGGCAGTTTTGCGTGCCACCGTATGCCGCCCTTAGACTCATCACCGCGGATTCTGGCAGCTCCACATCGAACTGTGATTTAACCGCACATAGAATGTCCGTTTTCTCGGTGATCTCCTCTATATCCTTTACCTCGACCAGCATTATCTCAGTCAGCGCTCTGACATCAACATTGCTGCCCAGGACCGCCTTCATTGTGTTCTGAAGCTCCGCGGTTTTTGGGTCAGATACCTTGTTTAGAAGGATTAGTAATTCCCCCTTGTCGGGCGCACACGACAGCCTGTATGGCTTGTCCTAGCTCTTTCAGCTGCGGTTCAGCCTTAACCTTTTTAAGGATGTCCGCATAGGACCCTCCAGAGGAGGTGGCGATCACTATCGCGTCATTCCGAGGCGGTCGCATCCTTGGCTTCCTTATCTTCTGTCTAACCTGTTGCCATTCCTCAGGCTTCTTTCCAGGTTTTTTGGGCTTGCTGGTGCTCTCTGTCCCAGCGTGTTTCCCCTTTTTAGCACTTTGGCTGGCATTTCTGTCCGGTGCCTTGTGCATCTCCTTTTTTGCCGGTACAGCTAGCGTTTTCCCAGTTTCTTGGCCCCTGGGGCGCTACTATTTCCGCTCGCGAGCACTTCTGCGCAGGTTTTGTTGGCTGTCTCCTTAGCCTTTTCCTGTTCCTCGATTATGCCCTGCACAGCCGACAGGACTTCCCGCTGGAGATAGTCGATTTCGTCGACATTATCCCTCATGGGGTTTGTTATGGAGCGCTTTCCGTCCATTAGCCTCTTCAGCTCCCTGGCCTTCGATCCCAGGCCGGACAGCTGTTTTAGCACATCACCCTGCTCTTCGTCAGCAGCTTTTGGGGTGCTTTTTCCTCCTACTGAGGGTGTGCCAGGCTGCTTGCCACCGCACTCCACCCTTTTTTCTGGCGAACTCGCCATCGCGTTGCTTGTTTTAAACGGGTCAGCTCCCATGTTGGCCCAGTCAGGTAGGCTGGACAACGGCGGGTGAAAGCCGTCGGCATTAGGCGGCGGCGCCAGGCCTTTGTTTGCCGGCGTGCCTCCACTATCGTTTGGCACAACTCCTAGGCTGGCGCCAGGATGTTGTGCCCCCGATCCCCTGCCCGACATTTCCCCGCCTAGAGGATTCAGTGCGTGCGCACTGGTTTTTCGGGGAGGTTGGACCTTTTTCCCGCAGTATCCTGCTGATCTTCAATCGGACACAATTTAAGGAAAGAAAATAAAAAAAATAAAATTTAAAAAAATTTTGTTTATGAGTGACTTGTGTTAATTGAGTGTCTTCTGTTGTTTCGTTATACACTTCTTTAGCGAGTGTTTCGTGCTTGTTTTATTGAGTGATTCTCGGCTTGTGCCTGCGAGTTAAAATGTAGAATTTTTTAATCGCAAACGTTCACGGTTTCACAATATAAAACCACAGTTTTTGATATTCTCGTTGCTCTATTTGAGTTCACGAAAAAAATTCAATTTTTTTTGGCAGGTTTTATTGGTTTTTTTACGATGTTTAAAAGACTTAGCGAGGAAGCCGAAAGAAACACGACTCGATTTCCAGAGCGATTTTCAATACATTAGTATTACGAGTGCAATTCTACGAGCGAGTAAAGCCGCGGAGTTAATACTAAACAAATTAAGTTACCTACATAGTTACTAGCTTAGTGCGAGCAACTGGGCGTCTATTACTATATCTATCTGTGTTAAATGGTGTTGTTAATGCTGAGCAACATTGGTTGCGAATAAAAACCTGACCAGGCAAAAGAGAATTTTGTAGTGGAGTTCCAATACAATACAATACAATAGTCACTAAAAACAGAAACAAATGTGTCACAGAGAACAGACTTCCCGACCTGTCAGAACTCTTTACAAGTTGTTACAGTGTTAGCCACTGTATAAGATGTTTATATCTCAGAATATAAATAAAAGTCATCTTTAGTTTCCAATTTTTCCTTCAAGCTTAGTACTCAGTACGACGAAAACTGCTAGCTAAGCATAGCCGGGGACTTTTTTCACCGCGGTACTCAGATGAGCTAAGGAAATGGTAAGGAAATACCAAAAAATTACTAGATTTAGCGAATGAATTCCGCGGCCCAAAGATTAAAATATTTGATCTTTAGCAAACTATATATGTATGTAAGGAAAATTCCAAAAACCAATGGAAAACTGCCTGTAGGAGTTGCGGCAATACATATCGCCATTTTGTAAATTTAAAAATTGGCGCCAGTTGATGTTTGCTGTTTGTCAACAAACCCAGCTGATTAAGAGTAAGACCATGCTACATGCATTGCGGAACACAGATTAAGTTTACTAAATCAAATGGAGACAACGTTAGCAGCATAGGGATTTGTGCGAGCTGATACACAGATAAACTTTTCGAGCACACGGGTCTTCTCTTGATAAAACCGTGCAAATGTTTTATTGAGTATTCTTTCAACACTTATCTAAGTGTAATTAGCTATTGTTATTTTAACGTAATCGGACATTATGGCACTGGAATTTATGCATGCACCACCAATATTTTTTTTACTTTTCAACCAATCGCGCAGTACTGATTTTAAGAAAAAAACGAATATTTAATGTGTTCCTTTAAACGCTTACGTTACTAAAAATATTCCAAGTTGTCACAAAACAAAACCTTTACCACACTAAGTATGCTCTTTAAGAACTGAAGAAAATACTTTATTACTTTATTTTTTTCGTATGAAATTCTAATGATTTCATAATGCAAATGTATTTCTATTTAGAGCGCGGAAGTTGGAATGCGAAGCATTGTAATGCTGGATGAGCAAGGAGGTAAGATAAATTTAGAAATACGAGCTTTGTGGTAGTATGTTTTTATATATAGACAAGAGAGAACGCTGTAGTCGGGTGCTCCCCAGCAATTGATGGCCAATTCTGTTAGTGTTGGAGCCCTAGATCACAAAAATAACACAATTTTTTTTTCGATGGCCCAGTTTTTTTTAAAGATTATTTAAAGTTCAAAATGTTAAATTTCTGACTTTTTTCGAATTTCTTCTTATATCTTGGTCCATATCCACCTAATTGGACCAGTTTTTGTTTCAATTTAAAGTCAATAGATCGGAAATTAACTTTGCCACACAAATCAATATGAATGCATAAATAATGGCAGCGCAGCAGCTATTAATACCCGTTACCTAGTCAAAAGGAGTGCCAGTGAGATGGACATATACAACTTGGATTGCGCATAACTTTTTAATAAAAACACGAAACTCGAGCTGTCAGCACCCACAAACACAAAACGATAAAATAATTTTAAAACACGACACGAACACGATTTTTTTGATCTTTAAACACTTAAGGGCGGTTTCTCGAGTGCCGGATAAAATTTCTTGAAAGGGATGAATTAAATAAAACAACCTTTTCAGTTAAGTTCTGTATTAAAACTGAATTTTATTTTCTAAGTCCCTAATTAGGAAACTAACATGAAATTCTTATTCTGGTCTTATCTGCGGCCTACGCAGAGGCCGCGTCTGCCTGCGCGGAAGAGTTATCTTTTGACCCCCCCACAGGAACCCTTGGCGGAATGTGAGAAGCATCTCGAGTGATTATCTTTGGTTTGGCTCAAGTGGCCTGCACTTACAGATTACAAGTGCTAGCACCGCTCCCCTGTGGGGTCTACAATTACAGATCATAGTTTATGGCTCTGGATCGATTTACAACTGTCACATGACATGCACAGAGCTCATAAAGTATTATATTTTATTTTTATTAGTGTTCGTCTGAACATTCTGCCAAGGGCCGGCAAGATTAGGTGTCTGTGTTAATTACAATTTATTTTATTTATTCTCAAAAATATTGCAATACAAAATTAGTGGACTGTATTAATTCGATATATTTTATTTTGCATAATAATTTTGACACCCCTTCACGGCTTGCAATTATTGTGTTTTAACATTATAGTGAATTTATTTATTTTTTTTAACATAAAACATTTTTATATCATTGATTTATTGTATCTACAAATTTATATATTAAGCATACCGCTGGGTAATGCTATAGCTTGTAACTGCCTTCGTATTTTTATATTCCTTATGAAATATACAATTAATATAATTATTATTACAATTGCTAAAATTAGGGATGCATGTCCAGCATGTTCACCATGGTGAAAGTCTAATTCTCTCAATTCTAGCTTGTGAGTTTTTAAGTATTGAATTTCCTTTGACAAACGATTGATTTCGTCCGTATGGTTGATTAATGGCATGTCGAGCGGGTTCCAAATAATCTTTGGTATCTCGTTAACTTCCCCAATGTAAGACAACGCTAATGTTCCCTGATCCTCTAACTGAATACTGTGTTGAGCAACTAATATTTTATCATCAGTTCGAGCAGTACAATCTGACCTCAAAGTCCTTGTTCAGGTAAATCTATTATCTCTATTTTTGAATTGCTACACTGAATTCTAGCCTTAGAATTGTTTCTTTTCCAACTCAACCCAATATGACTTACTCTCGACAATCGATTTATATTTGCAGTTCGATGCCTTATTTGGTTTGAGAGGTTTAATCTCACAACTATTGTCGTTAGCACTTCTCCAAGGCCAACTTCCCTCGCAAACTCTTTTATTCGACTGCCACCTTTGACATTTATTAATAGTAGATTCTGCCATAAGATGATATGCATCGATCTCAAAATTATAAATTAAGTACTGAGAATCTACATGCACTGTAATCATGCGGTCGTCCAATTTTACCGGAACTGGGATAATTTTATAAAGTACTGAAGCATGTCTACCAAACAATGGTATTTTGGCATTAATTATTAATTTTTTATCCACAAATAAACCTCTAGCCGTCAATAATGTATAAACCTCCTTTAATTCTGTGCCTGTTCTTTTCCCTGGCAAGACTAAATTTTCAGACAAACTGTCTTTTATTCTGAAAATTTCACTTTTTAGCTGACTAGGTCTTAATATGTTTGTATTAAGTCGGCCATGATTTATGTCTATTAAGAGGCTTATGATACTATATTGAATTTTCTCGCATTCATCTATAATGTTACTTAGCTGTTTGGTTATCATAAAAAAGTTGATAGACTCTTTGTACACATAATATGATTTTTGCGATACCGCCGTCATATTCTTTATTCTTTCGTTCATTCCTTTAAAATTTGAGTTAACTTCATCCGTCGTTTTCTTTAAAATGTTATTCGTAGAATCGAGTAAGGAAGTTTGTTTCCTACTTAACTCGTTAAGGCTATGCTGATTGCTTAATAAGTTTTTCATATTATCCTCCATTTGTATCCTGTCGTCTTCATCCATTATTCCAAATAGAATGTGATAAAGCGATCCCATAAAACCAAATGGAGCACGTTTACTTCTTGATTTTCCCTGAGCCATAAAAAGTTTATTATTTTCTTCTATGTCTGAGATCTGCCTTTCCGTGTTACTCAGAACTAAAAGGCATTGATCCTCAAAACTATGAAGTCGTTCGCAAATTACCCTCATTTTTTGTATTAATTCTTTACCTTTTTTAAGCATTTCGAAGTAAACGTCCATATTATAAAATATTTTAAAATTTCAAGACGAGGCTACAATTTCAACATCCCCCATTGGGTCTAAATATATTGCCGAAGTCTTATTTATCTTCTCTATTGCATACCTTGGCTGATCAACTTTAGCTGATGCATTAGCAAATTGGCAGAATATAAATAATAACATGGCCATTATAAAACCAAGTTTTGAGATCTTTGATGTACCTCTTGTTTGTCTTTTCGGTTTTGTCTCTTCGGGATCAGATTCCATTTTATCGACAGACTTAATTCCGTCTAAGGGACAAATCTTGCTTATCGGTCTAGTAATAAATCCATCTTGTAATTTCACTTCTACCACTCTAACCTTTTCGTCTTTACCCTTATGGACTTTTTCTACCTTTCCCATTGGCCACCTGGCTGGATGACTGTTCTCATCCTTCAACAAAACAATTTGTCCGTTCTCTATATTTGGACTTTCCCTCTTCCATTTGTTTCTCTGTTGTAGAGTATGCAAATACTCCTCTTTCCATTTAACCCAGAAGTCTCTTCTAATTTTTTGGATTAATTTCCTGTCCTGGAGTTAATACTTCATGTTGATCCATTTCATTCTCAGAAGTATACAATGGTCTTGAATTCAGGCATGCTTCTATTTGACATAAAAGTGTTGACATATCTTCGTATGTCAAACTATTTTCCCCTATTACCCGTTTCAAATGGTGCTTCATGGATTTAACTCCAGATTCCCAAATACCTCCGAAGTGAGGTCCTGCCGGGGGAATAAAATGCCAATCAATTCTATCTTTTTCAAGCTGCGCGGCAATCAATGTGTTTTCTTTGATTGCTTTAACGAACTCTTGATCCAACTTTCTTGAAGCTCCTACGAAATTTGTTCCGTTATCTGAATAGATATTGGCAACTTTTCCTCTTCTAGCGATAAATCTTCTTAGGGCTGCTAGAAATGCATCCGAGGTTAAATCACTTACCATTTCTAGATGAATGGCCTTGGTAGCCATACACACAAATACGGCAATGTATCCCTTATATGTTTTTAGCCCACGATTCTTGGAACATTTAACAAAATAAGGACCTGCGTAATCTATCCCAGTATTTAAGAATGGGTACGACATTGTAACTCTGTATTTAGGCAGATTGCCCATTATTTGTTGAGCAGTATTTTGTCTGTACCTAGCACACTTGACACATTCTCTCAAATACTTCTTTAAGGAATTCTTTAGCCCGAAAATCCAATATTTCCTTTGGATATAATTTCGCATTAAGTTTATCCCTCCATGCAAAGTTTCTTTATGAGCCTTTTGGATCAACAAATTTGTTAAATGGCACTTGTCTAAAATAATTGGATGCTTTACTTCAAATTCTGCATTGGAGTTCTGTAGTCTCCCTCCTACTCGAAGCATACCATCCTCATCTAAAAATGGATTCAACGACAATATCCTATTACTTGTCTTAATTTCGTTTTTTGTTTCCAGGCATTTTATCTCTAGACTGAATTGATATTCTTGCTGTTTTTTAATAACGATCTTTTCAGCTCGATTCAGCTCCTTTACCGATAGAATAGAAGGAAAAGATTCTTTCTTAATTTTTTATCGAATGAATCTATTTAAATATACTATTATTCGTATAATTTTTTCAATGCTGGAAAACTTCTCCAATAATTTGTAAATGGGGTCATCGGTTTTGTTATTTAGAATAGAATTTACCAAAACCACATCTTCTTTGGATTGCTGTCGAGGCCAATGTTCCTTTGGCTCAGATAGCCATTTCGGACCTTTCCACCATAAATCAGTTGGCTAGAAATAATTCCTCTTGATGATAAATCTGCAGGATTTTCTTCAGACTTCACATGGTTCCATTCGGTATTAGTTAGTTTTCGAATGTCATCCGTTCTTCGTCTAATGAACTTGACCTTACTATCACCATTTCTTATCCATGCTAAAGTTATAGTGGAATCACTCCAAGCATAGATTTCTACTTTGGTATCAATGGATTCAATTATTCGTTTGATCAATTCACTAAGCAAGTGAGCTGCACATAACTCTAGCTTGGGAATAGTTTTTCTATTTTTAATTGGATTAATTATACTTTTGCTGGCTACTATGTTTACACAATTCCCTACTTTAGCATATACCACTGCTGCATATGCCTTTTCGGAAGCGTCAGCAAATCCATGAAGCTGTATTATTGAACAATTTTTTGAACTAATCCATCTTGGGATTCGAATCCCTTCTAAAAGCAATAAATTTTCCTTAAAATTTACCCAATAATCTTTATCTTCCTTGGAT